TGGCAACATTGTTAGATAAACTGCCGTATCAGTATCCCTGTTTTCATTCGCTACTTGAACTAATGTCGTCAATAGTAGGTATAGGAAATTGTTAGTTTAGTAGTAGACGCAACTGGCTTCGCTTTTTAAATTTCAGGAGCAAAAAAAGAACATGATAAGTCTCTGCTAACGCTTCAACATAAAAAAACACACAAACAGATAAAAAATAAAAAAAAAACGCAAACAGATAAAAAAACAAAATAAAAAACACAAAAAAACCCGTTGGTCGATTTTCCGGACGCGTAGATTTTCGATCCATTCTTTGAGCGCAGCTAAGATAGCTTCTAAAGCATATGCTGTTGTTGCTGTTGTCACTGTTACCATTTTATTGTTGTGCTGTCATTTTTGGATAATGACTGACAGCTAGAATACAAGATATAAATAATTTTATTGAATCAGTAGAAACATTTACTTTTACATGTTGCTGTTTTTGTTTATTTTTCTTTTACGCAGATATATACAAAAAATTCACATTTACACCCCTAAAGTGTGATTCAACTCTATATACCCATTGATTTTAGCTGTAAGAACTTTTATTGCTTTTTTAGCAGATTCAGTTTTCTCCTTCCAGGTTTTGCTTGCAAATGCACTAACATAAAATTGAAAGCTGCCATCATGGAACATTTTTCTCTTATATTCTAGTTTTTGGGCTACAAGTGCATGATTATGATATAGTATAAACGAATTCTTCACCTTCTTATGTTTTTGCCACTTTTTAATGATGTCAAGAATATCATTTGTCTTAAGATCAACAGTAACACCCTCATAGACTGCCTGAATTACTCCATCAATAATATAGAGTTTGCCCTCATCACTTTCACTCAAGTGCTGTGTGCAGGTGGCAGAATTATTAGATAGAACAGTTGTATTAGTTTCATCATTTTCATTAGCTTGAAGATTGAATTAATGCCATTAATAACATGGCTTGGTAATTTCTGCTCTTTTTGGTAGCTACTAGAGCAGTCACTGTCATCAATGGCATATCCTTGTTCAGCAGCTTTTTGATACCATTTCAACTGCCTTTGTTCATCTTTTTCTACTCCAGTTCCATTTGCATAACACACACCAAGATTATATTGAGCAAAATGATATCCTTGTTCAGCAGCTTTTTGATACCATTCAACTGATTTTTGTTCATCCTTTTCTACTCCAGTTCCATTTTCATAACATAAAGCAAGAATATATTGAGCATTGACATCTCCTTGTTCAGCTGCTTTTTCATACCATTCAACTGCTTTTTGTTCATCCTTTTCTACTCCAATTCCATTTGCATAATATAAAGCAAGAATATATTGAGCACTGGCATGTATACATGTCCTGAATTACCCGTTGAGGTTGATATCATTGAAGGTGAAAAGAGATATAATAAGTTTGTTGCTTCATTGCTGAGTCTTAGTTACTTACAATGTGTAATCATCCATTTTGTTCGATTTATAAGCAATATCCATGTAAGATCAATTTATCAATTTAGTAACAACGAAATACCACAGTTCATGCTTATCAAACAGTTCGATTTATTTAGCTTATTTTGTTGGATTAATCATTATTGCAGTAGTTAGGAATTAGTTATAACCCAACTTTTTTCGAATTGGAAAACTCTACACTTTTGGTGTTCAGATTCAAATATAGAATTCTAATCTTGTTCACCAATAAACATCTAATTATCATTGAAACAAATTCCAACCGTTTCTTATAGAATGAACATAATTTATAGAATTTCAGAATTTAGATACAAAACACTTGCAAGAAGCAGATCCATCAGGTGTTCTGAAATTCTGTATTGTAACTTTTCAATTATCAATACATACCAGCTTTTGGTACAGTACAGCCCGGGAGACGATCATAACGCCGAAAATCATTTCACCGACGTAAGATTTCACCGACAATCATTTCACCGAAAATTATTTCGCCGACAATCATTTCGCCGACAACACTACCAAAAAAGGATAATTTCGAAATAATGTTGGTGAATATGTCGGT